GTTAGGATGAGATTTTTGGTGCCAGAAGATTTTTGGCATGTCCATTGACTGTTAAAAAAAAAAAAAAATACATAGTTGACCAGTTTTTAAAACAGCCACCTCACTTGTAGGTTTGGGTTTTTTTTAAAGTCAGAGAGGAGGGGCTGGAAGCTGTTGGCTGTGCTGACTTACCTTTAATCCCTCTTTAAATTAAGTTCAGCAATGCTGACAAACCCCCTTCCTCCAAGCAGCCCTTAGTCTGCTGCTGTGTGCTGATGAGCTGCTGCCCTCCCTAGACAGATAGCTTGGAACGGCTGCGTAAGAGCTCATCCATTTTGGCAACCAGAAGAACTGAAGACTTTGACATCCAGCACCGCAATCCCTATTTTGAAAGCAAGAAAATGCTGTAACAATCGTTCCTGAACATGCTTTAATGCTGTTAATGTGGGAAAAGGAGTAAAAGAAGAGTCTACAGTTGTACCCTGAAATATGGGCTGTCCAGTGGATCTTGTTAGCCTGTATCCCTGGAAGACTGCAGCCTCGCTCCTCTCTTGCACCACCAGCACACACGTGGTCTCTGCCAGGGGTGGGTGACATGCCACAAACCTCAAACCTCAGTGCTTCTGCTTTTTTTGCCCATGAATGCTAACATTGAACATGGTTTGCTCTCCTGCTGATACATGTTCTTGTATATCAACATGGACAAACTCTCTTGCAGCAGCTATTTCATGCCTAGAAACCAGGCAGGTGGTGGGATCCTGTCCCACTGACAGCACTCCGAGAGCAGGCAGTGCTAACTGAATCTTAATGTAACACTGCATTCTTGCGACCTGATGAAGATGAGCAGCAGTGTGCATTGCAGTGTTCAGATGCTGCTTTTTCTACCAATTAGTTATTTGTTGGGCTTCCCTCTCTTTCTGTGAGGAAGCTTTCAGATAAACACGTCACGTTCAAAATTGTGTGGAGAAGTTCCCTTTTTGTGATGCCTGTGAGGCTCTACCTTGCAAGTCTCTCCAGGGGAGGTGTTCGTGGCTCCTTTTTCCTGAAGAATAAAGAAACAACCCTTTTTCTTTTCCCCTGTAACCCTTCCAACCTGGAAAGCAGTCATGATGATGATGACCTTGGTGCAAGTTCTTACACTTCCATGTTGGCTCTAAGAGGGTTTGCAAGATGCTCTGAAGCTGCCTTTCACTGTCAGACCTTGGCACTATGTTAGGCAAGCGAAGCTGGCCAAGTTGCCCTGTGTTTGAGCCAGTGGAGCAATTTCTTTGAACCTCCTCAGTGGTTTTTGTGTGTTGGGAATGCAAACTCCTGTATGACTTTATCATCACGCAGGAAGGAGATTTTTATATCTTGAATATTTCACTACCTCTCCCAAGAGATTCCAATTATTCCCTTTTGAAAAAAAAATCAGTTTTAGTTTCATGCTGAAATTAAAGGGGTGAAAAGTAATATACAGGAATGGAGATTAAACTTGCAGTGTATCCAAGTCCTGAAGGAGGGGAGAAGCTGGTGTTATGCTGTGTCGTTGTGGCTCTGTGAACTTGTAAAAGATGGGCCCTACTCCTGTTTCTGCCCTTGACTAGTTTTGTCATTGTGGATATAGTGTCTGTGCCCTTATTCCTCCATCTAGAAATTGAGGATCATGGAAAACACACTGAGTTCTTCAGGACCTGTGGAAAAACACTCTTAAAACACCCAGTTCTGCATCACAGGGTTCCATGCCGGGGAAGGAAAAAAACCACTGCTCTTCACTGGGAGAGTTATGTGCTTGTCTGATTTTTAGTGGTGTCTCCGTGTTTTACTCATTCTTCTGTTGAGTTTGCTTGTACTTCACCAAACTCATGTTCCCTCCCTCATCTCAACAGCCCTTCCCATTGGCACCGTGTCCTGGGACAAGTTGTTTACAGAAACAAGGCCTATCTGACGTCCTTGACATTCGTGCAATCCATCTCAGCAGCCTGTCAGAGCTTATTGTGAACGTACATCCTCAAATCAATCGTGGACAGGGGTGCTGTCGTGTGTGTCAGGTCCTCCTCTCTCTCAGTGGCAGGAAGTGCTGATTAGCCCTTCTGCCTCTTCCCTCTAGGCTGGGTCCAGGAGTTATTCTGACATGGAGAACTGTTCTTCACACACCTCACTTTTGTCAAACATTGGTGGGTCTTGAGAGGTGGCTCTGACAAAGACAAGGCCAGCTGCAGCCAACACCAAAGCATCTTTGTTCTTTAGTCTGTTACAAATGCTATGAGGCTCTCCAATCAAGCTAATGCTTTGAAGAATTTAAGTTCCTTACGAAAGGATGGTAAAGCCCTCCAAAGCTCTGGGAGGACTGAGAAGCGTGGATGCCACTTGCAAAATTAGCATCCTTTCTTGTGCTAAGAACAGACATGCCCGGGCCTAGACAGCAGCCAGTTTAGAAGATCCTGTCTCTCCGGTACCAAAATAAAATCCCAACCCTCTACTTTAATATCGCCTTCCCTCTTGATACCTTTTTAACCCATTACCGATGACTATTTTTAAGAAATACGAGTTTGATCCTGATTCTTCTTGCTACTTGGGGGATCAGGCTCAGTCATCTTTGTCATGGGGAAGTGGAGGTCAGGCACAACGGATTTACCAGATCTGCCTGGAGAGTGCAGGCCCTACAGCACCCTTGGAATTGTCTCCTTTCTCCCAGAGGTTCTGTTCACAAGAGGGGTTTTTGTTTGTTGTGGTGGTGTTTTTTTTTTCCTCCTTTCAGGAATAATTGCTTCATCTCCCTGAGGCATCCATTTGCAGTGGTCTACTCTAATACAGGCTGCAATTGTTTGTTGGGGAACTGGAGCCATGTACATCACCTGATATAATTTGCAAAGCAAAGACAAAGTAGCGATAGAAGAGTTGCTTCTGCTGATGCTTCTTCTGGAAGACTGAGATGGTCTTTGTTTTTCCTGGGGATCCCAAAAATCTAGATGAACTTTAAGGTCCCTTCCAACCCAAACCACACTATGAAAAATGTTTAGAGGCAGCACGCTGAATCTTCCTCAGCTTTAGACTGTTTTCTTGAACTAGGCGTTATGGTAATTTGGAATAGTGTCATCTCTGAGAATGCTGGGGCATCTGCTGCTTTAATCCTTTCTGAAGAATTTGAAAGGGACTGGTGTGGGACCTTTGAGCATCAAAACTGCTATGATGCAGTTTGTTTCCTTACATTAATTGTCAGTTGTCAGTCACTTACATTTAACTGTCAAAACATTACTAGTGTCACACCTAATGTACCACCTACAAAAATCAAAGCAGCTGGTAATGAAATGGTTCAGAGAAACATACACGCTCCTAACATAAACAGACAATTCAATTCAAGCTTGTCAGTTTTATTTACCCGAGATCTTAAGTGGGAATCAAGCTCTCAATGAAAATGGCAAGATACAGCTTCCTGTGGCATGCTGTATTATTCTCTGTTCAATTTTAGTTTCTCTTCTGGGAATTCATATAATCACCTTTCAAGGGTTATCTGCCATGCTAGCTTTGCATAGTGAATTTCTTCTCCTTTCCTGTTGTTAAACTTTTCTGGTACTGCACAGCTGTCAGCGCAATGTAACCACAATTTTTTAATTTTTTTTTTGGTAGTGGGAGCCATGACTGTCATTTACAGAGTTTCTAAAGTCATTCACTAGTGAAAGACTCCTCTGCTGGGGGGGGCAGAGCAGCGTGTTGTACTTCACTACCAGGGAAACACTCAGACAGAGAGAGGCCATTGAGAACTTTCTGTAACATACAACCTATACAAAGCAGGCAAATACCCAACTCCTTGTCTCTTGCAAACCCAGTATGAAAATAACGGAGCCCTGTTTTCCTACTGGGATTTGAAGCGAGCACGTCAGCCTTGACGTTATTCTTTATGCCAGCTGCTGCAGAAACGTGGGGTGCAAAGACAATGGGAAATGCCTACACTTGCTTGATTGTGCGTGTACTGCTTACTCTTTGCTATTGGAGAGCTTTCTGCTGGCAAGTGATTTCCTGGAGAACTGTATGACCATCGTTAATAAGCAGGGAGGGACCTGTGGATGTATATATATATGTATGTGTAAAAACTAGCGCTCTGAATCTCTTCTCTATAATAAGAGCTACAGCTAGTGGGATAAGAAGAAAGATTCCTTTCTGCTTATTCATGTTGTCCTTGGTATCTCCAGCTGTCAATCGTGGTGCTTCGTTTGCTTTAGTAGAGAACAGATTTTGGTAGTCTGAGGACTAGCACAATCATCTTACCTGTAGCCATAGCATTAAACTCAACCTGGTTTGGTTTGAACTGGAAAGGCAGAGGTTCTCAATTACACGGTTTTGCATGAAAATTAATTCAGTACTGTTGAGTTTCTTGATTGTTGGCCTGGTTTTGGTTTGTTTTTTTAAAGACAGAAATTATAAGATTACTGCAGAAAAATGTCTTTGCCTTGTTTGATAACCTCACTGCAATGGTCAGGTTGTGTGACCAAGAGTGGAAAGGATCTTTGTGTAGCCTAGGAACAGCTTGTTTCCCTGTGGGACACCAGTCCTTCACTTTGACTGATGTTCCCATTGTAGCTCTGCTCCAAGCACTCATCCGTAATCTCTGCTCAGAAGGGTCAGTTCTCCTCCTTTGGCCACCATTTCCTGCAGCTAAGGCTCTCTAGCTGATGTTTTCTGCCTATGGGGAGCCGTGAAGTCGTATGACTTGTGGAAGGAGCAGAGATAACAACAAGTACCCATCTGTTCTTCTTTTCCATCCCTTCGGGATGTCCGGGTGTCCCCTGCTTAGAATTCTTCTCCGGATAAGATAGTAGAGGTGTCACTGTGGGGCAGTCAGGCCAGAAAACAATAGCGGGTCGAGTTCAAAAAAGAAGATTGATCAGTGAGTCCATCTCTGTTGTCAATAAGGGGCAGAGCTGCTCTGCAGAGGTCAAGGCTGGAGCCGTACCCCACATCCCTTCAGCTTCTTCCTCTGGTAAACTTCCAGGAGAGCTATCACACTCGCTCATCAGAAGCTCTACTGAGAGGACGGCTGGAAGAGCCCCAGCGTGTGCAAGGGCTTTCAAGCCTCTGCTGCTTGAGTGGTAACTGTTCCTTGGCTGAGTGGGATGTTCCAGTACGTGTTTTTCTGTGTGTGCTTCGTCATCCAGTTGCAGCCAGTGTCTTTGATGGGTGAGTAACGAGGCATTGCTTTCAAGCTCATTTCTGTTTGCCGTCTTTAAGGTTCATGCTGAGCTTTAGTGTTCTTAGGTGAAAGACTGGAAGGTGTGAGAAATATATCCTTTTTCTTTGAAGGTGGTGTGAAATTCCAGTTGGAAAGGTCTTTCTGTCACTGAGCATGAAGCCTCACATATTGGGAGAATCTCTACTGCCAAGGCACTGTGGGATTTTCCTCTGTTTGGAAGAGAGACTCCATGAATAGATATTAGGCTACTTTTTCATTCCCTTCTTTGACAAATCTTGACTGAATTTAGTGTCATAATGCAGTGCTGCTCGTTTCGTCGCTTAGTTGTGCCAGAGCAGAGACCTCTGGTTACACAATGCACACAGGATTAATCTCTCTGCGGAATGGTGGACTTAGGAATGCTTGCTAGAGCCTGATTTGTCATCCGATAGATATGCTAGCTTGTCAGCTAGAGAACTAACGATATCATCAAGAATACAAATTGAAAAGCTTTACTTTATAGCTAATGCTTGTCAGGCTGAATCGCTCAGGCTGTGCAAGAAGTGCTGGGGAGGGAAAAAAATTGAGCCAAGAAAAATGAAAAACAGAGGGAGCTGGAGACAGTTATATGTCTTGTGGAAAAACCCCCATGCTTTTGTTGTTTGGGGAGAAGAGATGAGAGGCTGATTGGTTGCTTCTATATTTTTGTGGAGTTTTTTCTTTAAAACTCAGATTAGTTTTGCCTAAACTGTGCTGCCAAAGACTGCAGGGGGGTTGGCTTGGGGCAGCCCTGGCAGTCCGAGGGTGGTTGTGGGGGTCTGCAGCGTTTGAAGGAGCGCTGTCTGCTTTTTCTGCTTGTCTGCCTCCCCTTCGCTCCTGCCTGAAGCTCTCAGAGAAGTGAGAGATGGAAGGGTGTGCTACCCCATTCCCCTGAAATGCCTTCTGCTAACTCCCTCTGAGCTGCTCCGTGTTCATCTCAGTAAATTTTGGCTTTAAATTATCTTCAGAATGTTTAGGAGACCATGTGATCTCCCTAGATGAGTGTTTGCAGAGTCTGTCTACAAAGGATATTTTATAAAGTTAATTATACTCTATGAAAGCTAATGAGAACGTGTGTATTTTTGGTGCCGCACAGCTGGGAAGCTGACAGGGCATTCCTCGCTTCGCCTCGCTTGGCTTTTAACAACATAAAAACCTTTTAATCTTAGTCAGTGACTCACCCTAAGGCCCTGCTGAGTCCTTTTGTGGAAACCAAGCGAGTTAAGCTGAGGGAAGCCCAGAGGAAGCTTTTTTTCAGCTGTATACAAAGCAAAGGCAGGACCGGTCTTTCCTCATCGCAAGAAGTTAAGCGAGCTTTTGAAGGATGGGATTTTACAGTCCTGCTGCTGTCCGGGGGTAAGGAAAGGCAGGTGAAATGGAGACCTCGTGAGGGCTTGCCTGGTGAATCTCATCAGAGATTCCTCCTGTGGTTCTCCCTCTGCTGCTCAGAACTAAGGGCTGGTTGTGGTGGGAGTGAATCTGCGTGTTTCATGAATTAGAGATTCCCTTCATAACCCAGGCTTGTGCTCCCTGTGCCAGCTTGCAGCTCTGCTTGCAGCAGCTGTTCCTGCCATCTCCCCCCACCCGAATTGCGTCACCTTGTTGTTTAAACAAAACAAACAGGGCGATTTTAGAACTTAAAAAGAAACGTGATGTGGAAAGTACAGAGTATTCCAGTCTGAGATGCATTTAATCAGAATGATTGGTTGTGTTAGCCTAATTCTAGCAAACGGTAATCAATTTTCCTTACTCAAGGCAGTATTAGCATTCATTTTGCTTAATAGGGAATATAGCTAGTCACAGGTAAGTGGTGCTTAATCAGGACTTCTAGTGAGAAAGCTGCCAAATTAGGGTTAATTAGGAGAAGACTGAAAATGTAATGAACACTTCAGTTCTTCGTTTTTTTGTTTTCTCCTTATGGTATTCTTTGGTTTTAATTGTTTGTAGAAGGTTCAGAAAGGCCTCTGAAAACGGACACCCTCCTTGAGCCCTGCATGAACCAACATGCACATAGCAGGAGGTCCACGTGTTTACATCTTGCCCTCACAAACGCTCACTTTGCTCACCAACATCTGATCTCTTGCAGAGATCAGAAGAGTTTGTGGGCTTGCAAGGAATATGACTGTGTAAAGGGTTGAGTGTTTTTCCCCGTAGAAGGTCCTGATTCAGACCTTCATGCTCTCTAGGTTTTAACATAATAAATAAGAATGTTTCAGGAAGCTGTTTAAGATGCAGGGAGGTGGCAATGTCGCACAAAACCACAACAGATACTTGTGAACCGTAGAGGCAGTTAGCATTGGGCAGAGAGGGAAGTGGGGGACAGTGTCTCGGAAGGAGACCAGGGCACGTCTAAGGAGATTTGTAAATACAGGGGGCTGCCACCTCTCTCTCTTCCCTGCTGCAGAATTTCAGAGAGTGAAAGGATTTAATTTACTGCTCTTTCAGCTCACCTTGGCGTAAATGTATGTAGCTGTAGGAAAGAGAGCAGAGAACAAAACCCCAGGTAAAAGCAGCAGGATTTCTTTCTCCTGCCTCACCTCTCTAAGCATACATCTTTGTTGGAGACAGCCTGATGGGCTATAGACCAACTTCATTGTGACCTGGGATACCAGTTCTTATACGTAGCTGTTTAAAATTGTACCTTGAAGTGAGTAGGAACTGATAAGTTATGCTTAACGATCGCTTACGGTTATACGGAGGTCTAATAATTGAAATGGAATTTTGTCTTTCTGTGTGCCTGTTGCATATCTTGGTGTTCGTGCTACACCTGGTGCTTTGCAAGGTCGTCTCTGGCTTAGGGTTATGGTAACTCAACTGCGAGGGCTGATGGGGGCTACAGATGGACTTTTAGAGAGGCTGCATAACCTGTTTGAAGTCTGGTGCTCTTCTCCAAGGCATGTGGGAGGATTACCAGTGACTCCAGGAGGGGCTTGCAGATGCTCAGTTAGCACTTGACCAAAGGGTGGATGTCCGAGGCTGGATCCAGTGCTCCCAGGACATATTTCCTATGGCAAAATCACTCCCTGGAGCTCAGGTGATTTTGGGGGGGTTTTGTGTTTGCTTTTCCCCCCCCCCCCGTTGTACTCTGACAGCAGCTAAGCAGCAAGTCAGACTGTTGCATAACGTTGTAAGAGCTCTGTTAATTTTTTTTTTTCTAAGACATTTAAGCCGAGCTGTCAGAATTTTCCATAAGGCAATTAATTAGCTGGTATCGCTGTTTCTCCCTGAGGATCTCTACCTATCACAATGATTCTGTTAAGTCAGGACTAGAAAAAGAAATAATTTTCTATTCTTTGCAATTATCAGTCAACAACTTGTTTTTATATCTGCCAGATGTTCTCTCTTGTTTCTCGCTTGCATGTCTCAGCCCTGGACCCCTGCTCTGCCTACATCAGCCTGAACGAGCCCTGGAGGAACACAGAACATCGGATAAATGGTTCCCACGGGCAGCCAACGTGCGACAGTCAGATCGACGGGGAGTGGTATCGCTTTACTGGCATGGCTGGCGATGCCATGCCTACCTTCTGCATCCCAGAGAACCACTGTGGCACCCACGCTCCCATTTGGATGAACGGCAGCCACCCGCGAGAGTCAGATGGCATCGTTCCGCGCCAAGCCTGTGCCAGCTTCAATGGGAACTGCTGCCTTTGGAATACCACGATTGACGTCAAGGCGTGCCCGGGCGGGTACTACGTGTATCGCTTGACCAAGCCCAGCGTTTGCTTCCATGCGTACTGTGGGCGTAAGTAACTGCTGAGATCACTGTTCTGAACCCCCCCCTTGATCCCCGTGGTGCAGAAGAGGCAGCAAGCATCCGTACTCTTGAGAGAGGTGGTGACTGGTCTCTGGCTTTCTCACCCAGAAGCGTGCCAGGTGATGCAGCGCAGATGGTATCTGTAAGAGATCGATTAGACGGTTTCACCTACGTGAATTCTAGTCTTTGTTCAGCTAGCGGAAATCTTCCGTAGCTGACCCGGCCGCGGTGATTTAACGCTCTCTGCGGGCCCTGTGGTTTGTCTTGGCGTGCTACCAAAGCCAAAATTTGCATCTCTGACTTACAGTAATTAAACTAGATTGTTTCTCACCACCTTCAGTGGACTGTAACTGACGGACTAGGCACAGGGTGAGAAGCTGACGGTACAAATACAGTATTTTTGGTGCGTGCTCAGCGGTTTGTGTTGACAGCGTTCTTGTCATGCCCTAGATTTTTACGACATCTGTGATGTGGCGGATTGCCAGGGCTCCTGCCTGGACACCAGTGACTGCACGTGTTCCCTGGGGACGACGCTAGGACCTGATGGACAGACATGTCTTGGTAAGGGTGGAAATAACCTGTGTCAGTTGCTGATGCTTTCTTTCCCCCTTGTTTTATTGCTCATGTCTCAATCCATTGGCTTAAGGAGAAGTATCCTGAGAGGAGTTTTTCTCCCGTGCTGCCTAGAGAGCAGGTCTTTGATTCTGTAAATGGTTCCCAATCTCTCCCCAGAGGGTGAGATACGACGCCCCATGACGGAATACATTCTGGTGCCCCTGGAGCTACGTGTGTACAGAGGCTACATTTGCTTTCTTGCATGGTCCAGCTGCTGAGGGCAGCAGCTTTGCTGTCAGTAGCAGAGTCTCTTTGTAGGATCGCAGTACAGCCTCATTGGTATTCAGGAGCGGCTGTGCAAGTCTGTCATTAGAGATTTGCTCTCACACTGTTGAATGCTTCTTTCCTCCAAGAAAAGTTTCACTAGCTGGCCTAGGGCTATGCATTAAGCTTCACCATACTTTCTGCCCTTGTGGGGTGTTGTCCAGGGCCTGGGGTTTGATGAGAGCCAAAGGTTTGTGGGTCACAGTGCGGCCTCAGTGGTTCTAGGCAGCGTGACAAGGTGGTGTTCGGGGGGCTGGCACTTGGTGGCTGCACTGGCAGAGACCAGCATGACGAGTAGGGAGGCAGAGGGCTGCAAGTGAGAGCAGAGCGGGGAAGTGGGCTTCAGGGATTTGTGAGGTAATCCCCATGAACTTCTGAGGAGGATGGTTGTGCTTGTGTGTGTGGCTCTGGGAGATGACCGCCTGGTCTGTGAGGCCTTGTGAAGACGATCATCTGTGGGGCAATGCAAGGGGCTGGGAAGGTGCGTGGCCGTTGGGAAGCTGCAGAGCCACACTGATGGATAGGAAGAGTTGACGTGGAGGGAGGAAGGCCTTAGTACTAGTGTTTGGGAGAAGTGGGGAGTCTCCTCTTTGTCTTCGAGGCTTGATTTGATAGAGAAGTTGAGAGCAGTTAGTCCGGCAGGCTCTGTGGCAGATGAGTTTCTTCCGTACGGACTATAGCTGACAAAGCAGGCATGGGTGGCTTCTTTCTTCACAGTCCTCCTGCCTGTGGACATTGGGGTAAGGGCCAGAGTCGTTACAGTCTGTGGAGAGAGCAGCCTGGCCTTGCTGCAGATTTACGCTTGCTCACATCAGTTCTACAGAAGGGCTTTGCTTAAGCTACTCCACATCTCTGCGGCTGAGTGGCTGACTTAGCTCTCTCGTCTAATTAAAAGCATCTGTTGGCTGCTTCTCTGCAAAACTTTCAGTCACAGAAGTGCCCTTGCCAAGCACCAGCACTCAATAAATGTGTGGCAGGCTCGCTCCTGCAGCAGAGAGGCAGGCAGGAGTCCTGAGTCTGTCTGCATGGGCTGCAGCTGCCTTCATCCCACCACGGCTAGGCCAGGCAGGAATTGTGCACTGCTGCTTCTCTTCATGATAACCAGATGGCACAACACCTCAGCTGCAATAATCACGCTGGTTGACCTCCCTGCAGCCTCTCTTGTTGTATGGCTCACTCATCTTTCTAATGACTTTCCATTGTGCTGAGTAATTGCACAACCATGTATCTGAGAGCAACTGTGCCGGCCTTCCGGAGAAACCAAACAAATCTATATGAGCTTTTCCTGTATGGGGAATATTCTTCCTTTCCCAGCTCACCCTAAGAAGGGAGCTGAAGATGCTGCAGTTGTGCTAAGCAGCTCTGTCAGCCTCCCTGTGCTAGGCTGACTTCTCTCAGCACGTCATATGCTTCGAATCCCAGAGTAGAACTGCTGATCTTAACTTACGTTTTCATTTGCAAAATTACTTAGGGGTTAGATTAGGTCTTAGGCTTTGTCATGGATCCACCAACTCGGTGCGTTACCTTTAAAGTCTTGAATACCTGGGTCCGTGTCAGACTAAGCCACGATTAAAATCAGTTCAGCCCCCCTCCTAACCCAGTCTCCAGAAAACCAGCCTGTGTCCCAGAAGTGCTGGTTTCACTGGTGCAGAAGAGCAGGGACAGGTCTGCTGTGTGTTGCAGAGCTTGGAGGACTGGCAAGGTGAGCTTCTGGGTACAGCCCTTGACCGAGCCAAGCTCCAAGACCACCTAACAGCATCTCTATGCCTTTGCCAACAGCCCTTTCCATCTTTACCCTCTGTTTTTAAGCAGCTTTAGTTTTATTGTTAGAAGGGAAAGTGTGTGTGTGTCTCCTGGATGTGCTTCCTGCCTCCCAAAGAAGAGTACCAGCCGATTCTTTGGCTAAAAATATTCAATTCACCTCACTTATGGAAGGAGACACCACCAGCTGCAGGTACTGTGTATGTGTGGGACCACTTATACCTAAGAGAGCTCGTCTCTGACTTGTCCCTTAAAACAGTATTTTTCTTTTTTCTTGTTTTTAAGCTTCTGACATCTAGCGAATGGTAACTTTCAAGCTGTTTTGGTAGAACCCTGTGTGAACCTTGATTGATAACCTCAGCATTCTGGCCTGCCTAAGAGAAATCGTTAATTTTGTGGCTCAGCAATAGCAATGACTGTCCCTTCCTCTCTGTTTGATTCACTTTTTGCACATAGAGATTAAATCAGGTTGAAGAATGAGAATCTCAGAGAACAAAGTACCTTTCAAAAAAAAAACCCAAAAAGACAGATAGATATAGAGGAACTTTTAGCCTTTAAAATAGAGAAAATTAGGAGTAGTTTTCAGAGCTTTACTGAGAGATTCAAAAGCATCTGCTGTGCTTTTTCCTCAGTAAATACCCTCAGCACCCTGGAGGGCTCTAACCTAGAGCTGAATGCAGCCAGCACAGGAATGTGACATAGGTACTATTCATGGGTGAATTGTTTTAGGTTATAAAAACCACAGTCCAGGCCTATTGCAAGATTATTCTGCAACCTTGATCCAGAGTCCGCTTCAGAAAGTGGGGGATGCCAGTTCAGGCACTCCTCTTTCTGCTGAGCTGGAAAGGTAGGTTCCATAGCTCTGCAGAGGGCTGCAGAGGAGCAGAGCAGGGAAGGGCCATCATGAGGAGCTGAGTCCTCTGAGAGAGTAGCTCAGAACTGAGCACTTTGTCTCACCTGTGGTACAGCGTGTTTGAGCAGCTAATGGTTGTGGTGGCCTGTGTGGCACCAGCACCCGGGTTAGGTCTCACCATGGTAAGCTGACATTTCTGTTCTGCAAGAACACCTGAGCTTTCCAGGGCAGGGAGCAGCCCGAGCTGGGGCAAGAAGCCAAAACGGTGAAATTTCTCATGACAGGACTTTTCATGGGGTTCATTAAAATGTTTTGCTTTGATTTCAGCTTTGTTTATATGTTTACAGCTGGTTTTTGTTCCTGTGTCTTTATTTTGAAATAAAGGTTGAATCCTTTAAAATTGCTGTAGGATAGTTGGCCACGTGTCGCAGTAGCAGGTGTGATATAAAAGCAGATAGAGTTTATTTTTGACAGATTCTGGAATTCACCTCGTTTTACTAAGTCATGTTAACTCCATTTTAATGTCTTCGTGAGTGGAGAATACTTTAGGATGAGAAGGTAAATGAAAACATGAACTCCCTCAGTGTGTGGAACCAGTTTGGAAGTTTCCCAGCGGGACTGTGTCCATCTTCACTCTGAAATGGCTGCCGTGTGCATGCTGTCTAGTGGATAGTGGTCTTTATCGTTTTGTGGGATTAGTCATCCCTGTTGCTCTGATCCAAGTCATGATGCCAGGAAGGCCAGTCCATGGTCTGGCCAGCGCCTCTGTGTAGCAGCTCTTTTTTGCCAGCCGTGTGTTTACCCGGGAGCACATTCTGACAGTGCCTTTTTTTTTTTTTTTTTGCAGATGAAAATGAATGTGAGCAGAACAACGGAGGCTGCAGCGAGTTTTGTGTTAACCTGAAGAACTCCTACCGCTGTGAGTGCGGGATCGGGCGCACGCTGGGAAGTGATGGGAAGACCTGTGAAGGTGAGGTTTCAGCTATCACAGTCTGCTGGAAATGATATAAATCATTCCGCTTCCCTTGCAGCACCAGTTCTCTTTTGGCTCCTTGCAGCTGGGATTAAATGTCACTCATATCACTTCTGTGCTTGCCAGTAGTGCCGTTAATGAAATATCCTTCTAATCAAGCAGAGAGGACTCTCCTTGTTGTTCTCCCTGCCTTGCTCATTTCTGCTAGGATGGGCTTGTATTTATCTCCATGGAGGGAGAGGCAGAAGTGGATCTGGAAGAGTGGTAGACCAGACAGAACCTAGTTATTGCTGGAGACGCTGGGATTCAGCTCTGGAGATTTGTATGATAGTTGTGCGGGGGCAGATTTAGTGCTGCTGGTTTTTGACAGCTAGCGTTAGGTATGGGCTAACGTCACGACGTCAGACTAGAGTATGAGGATTGCTTAGCCTCCCAGGATAGAAACTGAGGAGAGGGAGTGACAGTCTGTAAACAGAAGCCAGATTTGAGATTAGGGCTGCGTTTTGACTGTTTGCTTTTTGTAAGTAGTTAGTTGTGGGCTCTGCTGTGTGCAGCTGCTACACTTACTTCCCAGTGGTGGCACAGCCAGGCTGAAAATCCTTGATGAGTTGAGACTGGAAGTTTAGCAGAGGCTTGAAGACCAAATTGTAGGTTCGATCCGTTGTCACTAACAATGTACAAACAGCAGAAATATGAAAACCCATCAAAATCTGACTTTTGCCTGATGTTTTCTGAGGTCAGCTGTGAAGAGTGCTGTGCCCCCTGGCAGACGAAGCTGCTGAGTTGTATGTTCCCAGATACTGTGGGGCCTCAAACAAGAATTCCAGCTACAGATGCACCTCACTTTTGAGTTACCGGATTGCCACAACTGAATACGTCTGCAGCCTGCATGCAACCATGCATTAGCTGCTGTGTGGCAGACATCCATGGTGCAGGGAGGGGAATTGCCGTTGTATTTTTGGGTTGCACTCCACCCTTCTTTATGGTTTGCTGGCAGATGGCTCCAAGCTGCGGTTTTTGTCCCTGTTTTCCCCCCTCTATGATATCAAATCACGTTTCATCTTACTCCTGTGAAAATCTCCTCTCTGAGGTCTGTTAATGAAACACCAGTCATCCAGAAGACAGTGTTTCCTTGTGGAAAGCTGCTGTGCAGAGTGTCCCTTAAGGACTTGTTAAGTCGTGTGGGGCTGAAAGTGATCCGTGGGCTTTGTCCCTTCCATGTCCAGGACCCAGCTGGCGGGTGTCACGTATACCAGCTGTGCTACATGGCAGTTTTTATTCCTGGGCGCTGCACTCTTCTGACAGGGATGAAACAGTCTGTGCTTGGAAACTCGTTTGTTTCTGCTGTTCCCAAAGTTGTATTCTAGGGCCTTTGATATATCATTTAATTTCACCTTCTGCAAGAGGGATGGTGCTTTTCACGAGTTTTTACGCTGCTGCTGAGGATTTTTACAATCTTGTTAGTGAGTTTTATTTCTAAAGATGTGCCCTCAGCTTTGTGAGCCATTAGAGTGTGTGATTTACTTGCAAGCCACCTCACAGCTGTTGCTAAAAAGAACAAATGCAAGAGATTTAGCTTGATTACATGAGCTGGTGAGGCTGAGTAGGGTTAAAAGTATCTTGAAATTTCCCTTATAATGCTTTACCCATTACTGTGACTCATGTGGAATGTTCAGGCTGGTGCTTTCCATGCAAAGTGTAGGGTTGAGTATGGGATTTCTTTTCTTTACATTTCAGAGAAAACCACATAGTTATTTCTCATGGCAGGCTTAGGGAGAAGGATTTTGTATTTATGATTTTTTATATTGTATGTGCTCTTGTTTTACTGAGAACATCTAGCCGTATTCATCCCAAAGGGCTAAAAAAATCAAGCAGTGAAGGTTATTTTTTTAAAAAAGTCATGATACTCTGTTATTTTCTTTATAATAGAAAGCCTTTTCTTTATTCTTCTTTATATTATAAAGAAAATAAAATGTATTTTTCTTTATAATACAAAACAGCAACAAGAAATAGCCTTATTTGCCTTAGGTTTTCAAACCTTTAGAACGTATTTGGATGACCTTTCAGGCTCCTTCCTGCAGCTGTAGTGGCTAGGAATATGTTTTACATGAAGATTCAGCTCCTCAGAGAATTGCCTCACCTGAACAGAAAAGATGTAAGAGAAAACATGACAAATCCCCCAGTTAGCTGTGCTGCCCTGTCTCCTCTGTGCTTAAGAAAAGGGGAAAATTAGAAGGGGAATTGACCTTACACCACAAATCTGTGTCGTTCTGTCCCTGTGCTAACGCACCTCAGGGTAGCCAAACTCACAAACTAGCAAAATTTATTGCTAAACAAACTCCTACGAGCAGAGTTTCATCCTCAGCCTACAAAGGGGATGCAGGAATCCAGTACACCCACCTCCATCACAGCTGGGAAACCCACAGGCAAAGAGCGCATCATCTTCTCTTTGGAGTTCCCTGATGGGAATAGGAGCTGGCTACCTGCTAGTCTGTTCTCCCCGAGACGCCTTCCCTGGAAGTCTCAGGGCTTTGATTCTGGTGGTGACTAAGAAAATGATTATGGTTCCACGTGGTGGAAGTTTTAAGAGGTTCCCCCACCTTTTTGAAGCAAGAAACAACATAAAAATGTAGTTTAGGAGAATGTCTCAGAAAGGGCCAAGCTGAAGATTGCCTATTCAGCCTTGTTACGTATGCTGGTTATAGCATGTGATTTAATTTGGTAAGCTTTTTCACAGAATTCCTTGTTAACTTCCCAGTGAAATGACAAACACAGGAAGTCATGCAATTAAAAACAGGTTTCCACCTCATTTTCTTGGAAGCAAGCTCTCACCGTGCTGTTGCCTTCGAGCTCTGTGTTGGTCATACTGGTCGTTCATCAGCCAGGAGTATACGTTGGGGCCTGCGTAGCTGCCACACAGCTGCCCAAGGAGCAGGGTGTGCTGATTTTCCTTTCTTTTGCAGAAATTGAAGGCTGTCACAATAACAACGGAGGCTGCAGCCATACCTGTATTGAAGTGGAAGACACATACCAATGTGAATGTCCGAGAGGACTTGTTCTGTCAGAAGATAACCACACTTGCCAAGGTAGGTCAACAAAATCTCCCTGGCAGCCTCTGTCTCTTGGAAGTCAGAAGTATGTCTGAAGGAACTCTTCTTGTTTTTGTTGTGTTCTCTTAATCTGTCCTTTCCAGTTTGGTTAATGGAGGTTTGTCGTTAATGACAGATCATCCAAAACTGAGAGCCTGGAGACATTGCTCTTTTTGCCAGGCAGGAGAACAGAGACATGGGGCCCAGCTGGGTGCATCTTGCATCGCAGGCGGTTTTGGCACTGTTTGCTTACAATTAAGAAGATTGCTTAACATCGCCCATTGTATTGCTCTGCTTCAGCTGTGTGTGCCTTTGACAAATTTATGCTATTAGAGCTGAAATTTTCCATGCTCCAAACCCGGCTTTTAAAATTTCAGCCAAAGTGGTTCAGTCCCTTCCAAGAATGAGGTTCAAGAGAAAGGCCTTTTTTTGCCCAAGTACCGTGATAGCCATTCTGGTCAGCATCCTTATGTCTTGAAGCAGGTCACTAGTTCTGATACTAGATGTTTCTGCTGTCCTTTGGAGAAGTGCCCAAGCTAGCATCTGAATATTGACTGTTGCTTCTGCTGCATTAGATGCAAGCGAAGTGTTATCTTTGGAAGACCTTCCATCTGAACTTTACTCCCTTCCTGGATGCAGGGAGTCCTTCGTGCCAACTTGCTTGCACCTATAGAATGCACGTGGAATAATCATGTTCCCTGGTTTGGTTTGTGAGAGCTGAGCAAGATTTCCTTTGCAAATACATCCAGGCTTCCCGGGGTCAACGTAGCTCTCTGCAGTGAGTGCAGGGAGCAGAGGATCAGGGAGAAGTTCCTGAGGGCAGTGAGAGTTAAGCGGAGGGTCTGTAGCTCCTCATGCAGTAACTTCTTACAATCCAGGACTTGCACTCAGGATTCTTCTGGGTCTCATAGTCCCACAGCTAGCTTGAGCCCCTGAGGCATCGAGGAGCCTGTGTGTCTTCTAGAGAAGGTATCTACTGTGATCCTCTGCAGAAGGGACACTCAGTCAAAACTGGGTGTTGAGGAGAGCTGTGTTGGCATGTGAGAGGCAGACAGAGGTAGTGCTCTCTGGTGGGCCTCATCTGACTTGCCTGGCCACTTCTCAGACCTATCAGGCTCAGCACAAAGCTGGAGAAGACACTACTGCCCTGGCAGAGACAGATCTCGTAGCTCTCTGCTTGTGCTCTTCTGCCTTGGTGGGCTTGTGAAGAACTTGTGTGGTTGCTTTCAGACATTTCCATGGGAATTTGCTAATGGGCTGGACTCAGGCCATAGCCAGGGCAGGATCTAAAATGCAATAAAAGGGAGCCTGTCACGGGCTAGTTCACTTGAGAATACCGATGAGCTGGTGTTACCTGGTGTGCTTAGAATCTCCCGTAGTCTGATGTGTTACAAAGTGCCCAGACATCACTTAGAGAAACAGATGCAGACTTCATGGTGGCCAACAGGGCAGGTATGCCTCAGAGAGGAAGTTGGAATGGTTCTACTTGGTGAAATTTCTGCTTTTTAGAAATGCAGGGCACTGTTTTCAGGGGTGAGCACTGCATACTTAGGGTTCACTGGTGCTTACTGCTCCAGCAGAGCCAGGTGGGGAGGAGGAGACAGGGATTTCCAAGAGCTGTAATTATACTTGATTGAAGGTCTGACTGATGGATACAGGCCAGAAAAGAGCAATGTTCTTCAAGCCTGGCTCCCTGAGGCAGGCCCAGCAGGGTTAGAAGGCCATGCATTTCCCAGCCAGTGTTTCTCCTCCTTCTGAGGCTGCTAATGAGAGCAGGAGCACTGCCGGGTGCCAAGCTGGGGCTCGGGATACAGCATCTCATAAAGCGAAACTGCTTGTTCCTTTGCATTTCATAAATTCATATCCCCACGCAGTGGTCTGCAATTTTGAGCAGATATGACAGAATATATCTGGTACTGTACCACATGATTTTTTTTTTTATGGCATCTAATCAGGTTTGTAGTGGTACAATTAACAGTGCAGGGCAGGCACAGTTGCCTGAAGCAATTGGATCTGCAGCCTGTCAACCCTCCCCTGCACTGTCTCTACGTTCGGAATAAACGTTAATAATCTTCCCCAGAAATCAGCCTCGGCTACAATTTTCCCACAAAGATACCAGCCAACAAAATGCTTGGAGTTTTGCAGACCACCCTAGCACCTCACCGCTTTCTGAAGTGTGATGGTGAAGTGCTTTTCCCCCCTCTCCCGTGCTCAAGCCTTGCGTGCAGCTAAGCAGGGTACAGCAGTGTAGTTCATTCGTGTTTGTAGCACGGGTTCAGGGCTCCCCAGCACCAGAGAGCCTGTTCGACTGGGCAGTCTGTGCAGAAAGATAACCCCTGCTCCAAGCAGCTGTACTTTGGAAGGCCAAGGAAGGAACCACAGGCTGAACAAGGAACACGGTGCCAACAACAGCAGGCAGCAAAATGAGTGTTGGACTTGCCTTAGAAGCTTCCTACCAATGGTGAGGATACTTGCAGGCATTGGTGCAACGCAGAGTTTAAAATGGTAATGAAGAAGCTTTCCCAGTACTTCCAGGTGCTCTGCAGTGTGTGAGGGAGCAGAACTGAAGCATTTGACCACCAAAGACTCTCAGGAACCTCGCAGGCTGAGCTGAGCCCAGGGCAGGGGTGCAAGAGATGGATGATGAGAGCAAGCCAGGAGAGTGCAGCTCTCTGAATGGATGCAAGACGTTGTGAATAAAAGAGGATTCATTGGCACCCAGGATGACCTGTTTCTGCTGGGCATCTCAGTCCTGGCAGTCGGGACCTCATCACTTGCCCTGGAACAACATGTCTGCATGTAGTCACGGCTGCATTGCCAGATCCTTTTCAGCTCCCCCTACAACGGTGCTGCTGGCCATCTGTCTGGGGGGTGTCAGGCCTGCTCAGAGCGGAATTGCGCTGCGGCACACACTCTCTCTGCTTGCAGCACCCTGTTAAATCGGTAGAACCAAAACACTTTTTTCAGTATTGGTTACTCTTCTGTGTACAAATGTCTAGGGTGGTCTGAATTACATTACCAGTTACTCTGAGATGGTTAGTATAAGGAGCTCCCCAGAGTTTTTTTCCTAAATAGTGATGAATTGGCTTGAATCAAAAGTGGATCTGCTCACAGGCTTCCTTCACTTATTTCTGTGCCCGGGTGGTGGAGTGCACACGGACAACTCTTGCAATGCCAGAGCAGAGGTTAAATAGGCGTCTCCTCTTTCTTCCTCTTTGTGCCAATCAAAGACGTTTAGAAACAGAGACAGCCTGAACCAAATTGGTCCTGAGGTTTGAAGAATTGCATTTGGGATCCAAACTCTCTTGCCCTGAATTACACCTTTCTAAAAGCATTACGGTTTCATATTCATCAAGGCGTCACTAGAACAGTGGAGCTTTAAATCCCAAATCCAATCAGTTCTCCAAAGGATATCCATCTCTGCATTGCACTGTGTTCTCAAAGTCCCTTTGTCTCCTCGTGAGCTTTGCCATTTGACATGTTCAGTCATTCGTGCTTATCTTCTACCGCGGACGGAGGAAAACTTAAGGTAATTCTTAATTCTTTAATTTTCTGTTCAGAGCCAGCAATGTCATTCTGGGAGCATGTTGATTTGGGCACACTGCATATGTTTTAGCATATCACCTTGAAAAGATCAACTTTTAATAAAAAATACTCCCTGCAGGTACACAATAGCTTTCACAAATACCTTAGCTGAGCCATGAAGATTTTTTTTAAGAGGGATAAAAGGCATTTTTTAGCAGTGTGCCTTGTACCCAAGATCCAGAATCCTGGATTATATAATTAACTTGATCAAAATTAAAGGGAGGCAGATCATATCAATGTCAAGGATTGGGACTGTAATCAATTTTAGGAAAAAGCTTGGTGAACTAGTATATTTGAAAAAAGTTTCGTCATGTGATTTTAAAATATGATAAAAAGAAAATTTGGAGGGGATTTGTTTTTCTGGCTGAGAAGAGACCAGAATATATGCACCAGTACACTTGTCCTGTATCAAACTGAATAGATATGTGTACACCCAAGGAATATATAACAATTACTTTTTATTGAAGATTATTCCCTCTCCTTTCCTGTTTCATTTTGTCCAATCTCTATGTTTTCTCCACTTCTTATGTAGTAGAATTTTAATTTTAAAAAATCCACATGGAGCTCTGTATTAAAATTCAAAGGTTGGAGAGAGGTGGAATGAGTGAGCTAATTAGGTTTGTTTGTCAGAGCTGGGCTTATTGCTTATAAAAATATTATTATGGCATTTTGAGGTGCTGCCATTTTAGCTTGGCATCTATATGGAATTACTCTGCCTTGTTTTGACATGTTCTGGGTTTGATGTAAAGCCTGATAAAGGGTCTTATAAAATGACTTTGCCTGGGGTGTTGTGAATTGGATATCCATATCTGGGAAAGGCTCTTCCCAGGACATAGCATTGCAAGAGACATCTATGAAACGTGTGCCGGGTATTAGGTGGATAGCTAAGTTTCTGCTGCAAGTATAGTGGTCATCTTCATCGTCTTCCGTGGTGTCGCTATGCCAGGAGACAGCTGGGGCAGTGGCAGCTCGGGAGGTTTGTGTTGCATGGGTGGGAATGTAAGATAGATAATGAGATGGCTGTGGTTGGATAGTATCATAAATGTAGCGTGTGATTGCCCTTTCTTTCCTCCAGTAGTAATTAGTATAGCCCTTCCCCACGGCCCTGATACTGATACTCCCTGATGTTTTTTTAGTGCAAACTGTTAATTCTGGGGACTTGTCTTGTAGTTCCAGTGCTGTGCAAGTCCAGCTCTATCGAGGTGAGCATCCCAAAGGACCTGGTCGGAGGCCTGGACCTTTCCCTCATCAACACTTCCTGCAAAGGAGTATCCAATGGCACTCACGTCAACATCCATTTCTCCTTGAAGTCCTGCGGCACCGTTGTAGATGTATGTATACGCATTGCTGTCCTGTCTCGTGGGATCTCTCGGATTTGGGGACTTGGCTATGGTTTACTGGGGGAATAAATTTGATTTAGCTGTACCATCAGAGCAGCTTCCTGTGTTGCTGTGCAGCTGGCCTCAGACTAGACCTGGGGTGGAAATCCCAAAGTAGGAGAGCTTGTTCCAACTCCTCTCCAGTGACTGTGGGTCTGTCATCATGGGAACTGCTTTCTGCTCACTCAGCGCTTCACAGAGGCAGCTTCACCATAGTTCTGGTGCAGAAAGTGCAAATAGTCTCACTCTTCACCCTCCTGTTGAGACAGAACTTGGTTCTCCCAATAATCTTTTGAAGGTTATACTGGCAACTGGTCAGGAATCAGAGAGCTCGTCTTAGCAGATGAGTAGCAATTAGAAGCAAATTCCTCTGCTTCGTGCTGGAGTACGTACAGTGCATTGAAGTTGGCAGCAAACTGATAGAGGCCCTCAGGTTGTAGGTAGGGATCAACACCGTTCTGGCTGCAGCATGTAAATTCACAAGCTGCACTTTTATTGACTAGTTTATGTCTGGGTTTCCTGAGGAAGGTAAACTCAGCTGTTAGCCTGAACTCAGAGAGGTCTTTCTCAAGGATGTCTCCTTTCCATTAAACTCCTTCTTTGCTGCAGGTAATAAACGATAAAATCATTGCCACCAATGTGGTGACTGGCTTGCCAAAGCAGACTCCAGGAAGCAACGGGGACATCATCGTCCGCACCAGCAAGCTGCTGATCCCTGTGACCTGTGAGTTCCCACGCCGGTACACCATCTCCGAAGGTTATGTGCCCAACCTCAAGAACTCACCCTTGGAAATCATGAGCCGCAACCAGGGCGTCTTTCCCTTCACTCTTGAGATCTTCAAAGACAAAGACTTTGACGAACCCTACAGGGGTGCTCTTCCCACCCTCAAGCTTCGGGACTCTCTGTACTTTGGGATCGAACCATTGGTACATGTCAATGGACTAGAGACACTGGTAGAGAGCTGCTTTGCCACTCCCACTTCAAAAATCGACGAGATCCTGAAGTACTACCTGATCCAAGATGGGTGAGTTCACTGTCCCCTCCCTTGCTGGCTATTAGTGGGGCTAAGTTGCATTGCCTGTGTGACGCAGGAAACACTATTGCTTCTCCCCAGCAGCCTGTCTGCTGTGTTCCTGGCAATCACCAGCAGCCAGACCATCAAGCTGAAACCACCTGTCCCATCAAAAGTGATTGGGAGAAACAGCAGGAGGCAATGAAAGAGGTTAATCCAAGTGCAGCCTTTACAGGACTCATTTCCCCGTAACTAGCCTTGTGGATAATTGAGTTGGCTCCAGTAGAAAAGATATCCTTCCTGATATCCTCTCTGCCAGCCTGCAGAGTGCCAAACCAATCGGCACAGCCCTTGGCTGGCTGTGTGCCACTGCCATCCAGCCGCCACAGCGACTGGAGCAGGTTTCCTAATTTTCCCATAACGGCCTTATAGCATGAGCCAGAAGACTCCATGGCTGGTCCTGTTTGGGGCTCCAGGAGCTCCCCTTGCTTTGCTCTCTCTCTGATGCTTGGCAGTGCAGCAGGCTTTAGGATCCCTCGGTTTGGCTGTAATTTTCTGGGGCTTTTTGGGGTTAGTGATCTTTCCCAGATATGCTGGATCAGGGTGGATCTGTGGGTTCGCTGTCAGGCCTCCTTGTGATGGGTTTTGTGTCTGAGGTTTGGGGAGCATTGCTGTGGGCTCTGCTGTGGCTCTTGAGGTGACCTGTTTTCAGACACTTGCTTGGGTTTTAATGTGACAGTGCCACAGTGCAACATTGCTGTGGAGCGTTTGCATCCAGCAGTGCCTGGCAGCTTATCCAGACAATGCTGTGGAAATGTCACAATTGGGAACCACTCTGCTATCCTCTAAGGAGGAAAGCCCAAACACAGTAATATCTAACACATACCCAAGCGTCATAGCCCAGCAGTCAAGGGACTGTGCTCATACACGTCCTGTGTTCTGTCTGCCAAACCATCTCATGAGGACAACAATTATCTCCTTAGCTGCCAGGCTAAATCATCCACTGTTACAGCTGGTGATGGCAGGTCCTATGGGATTGTCTTGTAGCAAAAGGGTCCTGCAGAGTACAGCACACACAGATAGTGTTTTCATTTCTTTCTGGTGAAGGTTTCAGCACTAGCTTGCTCTTCCTCCATCCTAGGCTGCAGTTCTTCTGTGCCTGACATTTGTGGGGTTTATAAGCAGATTTGTAGTGGAAGGATTGATTTATCGACTCCCTGGCTCGACTGTTCCTGTGAACCCTTTACACAGAGTCAAGGCTCCAAACATTCCTTTCACGAGTGAAAATGATGAGATTCAAAGCAGCAGCCGAAACCTGAGCCCAACAGAGAAGGGAGAAGGCAAAAAATGTCATCTCTTGAATTCAGCACAGCACTAGTAGAAGGATTTATGGCACCAGTGGCCCCTTTGGTACTGCTATCCTGCAGAGGGCATTAAAACTTCACCGAAGAGAAAAGTGGGCTGAAGCCGGCTGGCTGGAGCCTCCTCCTGCCTGCTCCACTCTGCTCTCCAGCCCTCACTGCAGGCCCCAGTGTCCCCAGGCATGCCAGCTTCTGTGAGCTGTGCTGTATTTAAATTGGACCGCTTATTAGCCCAAAGGCTAATGAGGTGCTATTGAGCTAACTGGAGTTCTTTGTCTCTCTGTGTGCTCGCAGCAATTAAAAAGTAAAATTAGCCAAATACACTGCTGATTTGCCCCTGCTCCAAACAGTTCTCTAATAACCCAGTTTCCTTCCATCAACTCGGCCCCAAAAGCCCAAGGCAATAAAGATGGGATTTGTAAATCAGTTTGATTGTAGGATCAGACCTGCAGGAGTTAACCACAGCTTCCAGAGGGAAGTGTTGTTTAAATTTGAGGGGATATACCTCATGCTGAGAGATGGGAAAATTCGCACTCCTGCCTTCCTCCCTGATAATTCCCTGTCATCTCCAGTGGGACCATTCTTCTGCGGGACACCTCAACCCTATGCTGGTGTGACCATGCTGTAAATCAGGATTTTCCCAGATCCCTCCCCACAGTCTCTGTAATACCCTATACTGTTGCCAGCCCAGCCAGCCAGCCCCAAAGCAGCTCTCCCACTTCTGATCTTGTTCTTCCTCTTTGTCAGAACAAAAATAAATAAAAGGCATTGACCAATTGCACGAGCGATAAACGCTGCAGCTCTCTGGGGCGTCTGGAGCAAGGTCACGTCACTGAGGGAAACCCGTTGTAATCTGATGTGGTCCGGAGCTGTGGTTTATCTGAGCATGAACACGGTTAAGGTAGTTCCATTGCAAAGCTCATCTTGTTAGACCTCAGGCTGCCCCTCGGTTGTAGACTGAGGTGGTTATTTTATTCTCCAAGACCTCCTTTCTGCCTTGCAAGCCGCCAGTAAGAGGGTCAGAGCACAGCTCTCATGGCACAGCCACTTGCTGGTCCCCTCACCTGCGCACGTTATGCACAGGAAAGGGTTGTTTTCCCCATATCCTGACCAGGATGACTCGTTTTCCCTTCCTACCTGTGCTCCCTGCACCTTCTCACCTCTCCAAGGTGGGAAGCAGGGTTTTGGTATGGCCCCACACACAGTGTAAAAGGACTTGACCCTGTGACTCAGGAGCTTTCTGAGCTCTTTTTGTCTTGCCGCAACGCATTTGTTGCAATTCTCCATCAGGCATACTTAGTGGCATGGTAGGGGCTCCATGTATCCCTGGTTCCTCCTTGCTGTTCTTCCATTTTCCCTCTCTCTAGCCCCAAACCAATAGGTTTCTTGCCACCAGTGTGGAGAACCTTTGGAGAACCTGAGATTTAGGAGTCAGTTTGAGCCCGAGTCCAAAAAGCATCACAGTTTATATGCTCACAAACGAGAACGTGCCTATGAGTTGACTTTATGGCCCCGAAGCTTGACCAATCACTTATGAAAAGTCTTTAACTGTCATTCTTTACAATCAGATGCCTTCAGGAATGCTACTTTTAAAACCAATTTCATCCTAAACAACTTAGTAACGTCTAGCGTTTGGCCTCAAGGGGGGAAGAATCCATGTCGGTTTTTCTAGATGCGCAGCGTTAATTTATTAGCTCCCCTCGGCTGACTTTGTGTTTGCCTCCCAGGCAAGTTCGCTAGGCAAGCGCTGCAGACAGGGATATCCCTTCAGACCGTGACCTCCACTGGCTGAGAAATGCTGCAGAAATAATAAAACACGGTGGTGAAAATAATGGGAGGATCAGACCCATGCTTAGTGCTCCCGTGAACGTACGCTGCTCTGCTGCACGGAGCAGAAGGGCGATTCCGGGAGGGATTGCGGTAGGCTGCCGCCCACGGAGCCGAGTCAGCCGAACGGCTGCAGTCCTGTAAGAGTAGGACTTTCCGCTGTCACAGTTACCTCTTGTCTCTTCCACCACCATTTTAATTTATTTTTTAATGTCTCGCAAAGTCTACATTTCTGGAATTAACTTGCTGGAAGGGACAAGCTGCAATATAAAAGCAGCATCCGGGCCTCTCAGAACGCCTAAGGCTTTGCAATAGGCAGCAGTAAATATCCAGTCATCCTAACTTTTTGTCCTGCTGTTTCTCTGTCAAGATCTAAATAGGCTGTAATAGTTTATAAATAGGTTGCACTTGAAATGTAACTTTTTATAAAAAATACTTTATTTTCTTGCAGTTCTGTTACCTCTTGCTTGACTATATAGTCCTAGAGATGGAGAAATTGAAATTATGAATTTTAGCTATAGTGAATTTGAGATGTCCGATCAAGGCCAGCTGGAAGAAAAATGTAAATGACATAAAGCAAAATAGATCTTGATTTTTTTAAAAAAAATGTCATCTGTGATATTTTAGTAACGTGAGCAGCAGCTTCTTCATTTTAAGAGTGATTTATGTGCATATATATGTGTGTACAGAAAGCACATAATACCTTATATTCCGTATCGCAGTTCCGTTGATCGCTGCAGGCTGTTGCACAGGGAGGTGAAACGAGGACAAACTTGCCTGCAGCTCTCTGGCAGTCCCTCTGCTGATGGGACTGGAGCACGTCCTGCCAGCTCTCTGCTGCTGAGCTGCTCGTTGTCTGGAGATGCTATTATCATCGCTAGTGTTTTTCCCCATCATTCCCGAATTTTCTCCTGTGGCCAAAGAGGAAGTAACATGGATGGCTTGAGACAGCCAAGCCCTCCTTTCCTTTCTCTGGTTAAATAGGCTGGGATGTTTTTTCTCTTTCTTTTTCCATTCCTGGGAAACCCATTAAACTTTATCCCTCTGCTTCCCTCAGCTGCGTTTCTGATGATTCGGTGAAACAGTACACGTCAAAGGACCACCTTGCCAAGCATTTCCAGGTTCCTGTGTTCAAGTTTGTGGGCAAAGACAACAAGGTAAGCTCAAAACCCACCTCTTAGATATTGCATCAGCTCTGGTCTGACTGAAGGGCCTCAGCCACAGAGTTGGCTGTATTAGAGCGCAAAGGGGAGGAACGGTTGGCCCAAGGCAGATACTACTGTGCCTATTCCGATGGTCGTATCTTTCGGAAGCCTTGGTCACCAAACAGAAACCTGGGGAGTTAGGCACATGCAGCGTCCTGTCCTTAAAACAAGACAGCCTATAGTTTTGAATCCCTTCAACATTATGTCTTCTCTAGCTCTTGTGAGTACAGATACCAGGTTTCCAGATACAAGGCCACCATGCTGTTTAATTCAATGTGAAACCAAGCCGTCCAGGCTCTGGCACGCCAGGGCAGAAGCTTTGTAGTGGGAGGACAGTTGAAGGATAATGCCATTTTCCTAATGCAAATAGCTTTCCTTTTCTGAGCTAGAAGAAAGTCAGGTCTTTCAGTCACTGTTGTTACACTCAGCCAATGCTTCTTGCTCCAAAAGGCATAAAGCTGCCTCTCTGGCTCCTGGAGGCCCTCGATAGGGTTAAAACGGATGAGATCTTTCAAAATTCAGACATTTCACTTGGCTGTCTGATTGCCACTGCTGCCTCCAACCTGCTTCCTGCTGGCTTGTGCAATGGATTTTGCTTCAAACCTCGCCATTGACCAAACATTCACAAATGTTTGCTTCTCTAATTGCTGCTCGCAGGGATCTTGCTTGCTCTCCTTGTCGTTTAGAGGGCAGGGAGGAGCAATCCTGTCACTGTCTGCCTTTACTGTGCAGAGAGAAAAGGCAGCTGTCTTCCTGCCCTTTGCGTTTTCCTTCCGCCCTCAACTACCAGTCTTAGCCCCTCATCAACCTGCGTTTTCCTTCTTTGCCCCTCAGTCTCGTGGCTTTATGTTTTCTTAGCTCATCTCAAATTCTCTTGCACATTAGCTTGAGTCCATCTCCCTGTGAGGCTTCATGTGTTCTTGGCCTGCTTCCTACCATGCAGCTCCTACCAGCCCATGTGAGCTCTTCCAAGCTTATTCCTGGCATTTTCATCCCTTCCTCTGGAGGATCATTTCACGCCTTCATCTTCCCTGTCTAGCCCTTGGCTACCAGACAGACACCATGCTCTGAGATCTCAGCCGGGCACTCTGGAAAACGTGCCATCTCCTGGGCACATAAGAAAACAGATGGAGCAGCCAGTTTGGCTGTGGATGGCAATGGTGGATAAAGACCTTGTTGACACGGGGACAGAAATGGCTGTGATGTGGGAATCGTGTCGCTCGTGCTCTCCGAGAGCCGGTCCCCAGAGCTGCGCGTTGACTTGGCCTACTGTCTCGCCACCCTCCAGGAAGTGTTCTTGCATTGCCGCATCCTCGTGTGCGGGGCGCTGGACGAGAGCTCGCGCTGCGCCCAGGGCTGCCGGAGACGGGTGCGCAGGTCGGCTGAGACCGAGGAAGAGGAGGAATCTGTTCACGTGGCAAACCACATCCTGACAGGTGGCCCCATCAGAATCGACTTTGACGACTAACACCCACCCACTGGAAGAGCATCTCCGCCTGAGACCGACCTTCCTTACCAATGCTTTCTGTCGTGGTCGTTTGAGGAACGAGAGGTGTTTGGCGAAGCCCCACGTGAGCCTCGGGACTCGTTTCCCTAACTGCGTGATGATGATTTGTGAAGTATGTTGGGCACACGAGGCAGCCCTCTGAGTGCAACCCGGGCTGCAGAACGGTTTTTGGTCGGCTTTTTACCTTCA